CTTGCTTGATTTTGAAATTGATACTGTAGCTATATCTGTTAGGAGGCTGAAGGGTGGCAGTGGCAGGTGCTAGTATTTTTAATGATGGCAAGCAAAACACATCCATATATGAACACAAGATGCATGCATCAAACAGAATCTGTTAAGAAACCTACCTATCCAAGACCACGATTGCCAAAGAGATATACTCCCGTTGTCCCCTGCATGTCCAAAGACATGCAGTTAGTGGGGTACAGTTAATCAGTAGGCCAGCGTGTTAGCATGGTGGTTAGCACTGTTGCCTCACAGCAAGAAGGCCCTGAGTTCAATTCCACCATCAGGCAAGGGTCTTTTTTTGTTTGCGTGGGTTCTCTCTGGGTACTCTGGCTTCTTCCCACAGTCCAAAGACATGCAGTTAGTGGAGATGGGTTCATTGGAAACACTAAATTGCCGATAGTTGTCTGTGTTAGCCCTGCGACAGACTGACATCCTGTCCAGGGTGTACCCTGCCTCTCACCCTATAGTAGCTGGGATGGGCTCCAGCCCCGGCCACAACCCTGACAAGGTTAAACGGAAGAGACAAAGGGAGTATAATCAGCATGCTTCTTGTTTAACAATACATTTCAGTTAAGGATAAACTAGGAAAAACACACACAAATGGTAGAACCTGTAGAACCAAGCCTTAAAAAAAACAAAACACCTTGTAGAGAAACATAAAGATGAGTACCAAACTGTAATACTCTTTTATTTCTGACTGTCCCCTACAGCAAATGTACATTGCTGAGGTACTACAAGAGCCAAATTCAGATGAGACTGGTTCTGGCAGCGGTGAGGACGACGGCCAGGGGTCCTCACAAGACGAGGAAATAATCAGTGTTGACAATGGCTTAAATGAAGCCTTTCAGTCTGGTGAGGACAGCCTAATTGATAATGAAGTGCGGCAATGATTGCACCTGGGAATAGAAAGCCAAGTCACTTTAGGAGCCCACTGAATGAGTGAATTAAATGAGGAACTGAACCAGCGGTTCTCCGAAACATCTCATCCTCCTTGGGGGACCTTCCACTAACATAAGCACCCTGCCCTGTCTACTAAGAATTAAACGGACTGTCGCACAAAGACTCTCACATTTCCTTTACTGGGCCTCGCCAGGCCGCATCCTATGTGTACCTACTGGAGAAGGAATCTACTCTGGCATCGAAAGGGTAGCAACATCTTCGTGCTCCTGACGCAACTGAGGCACACCCCAGTTGCTTTCTCTGGACCAATGGAAAGAAGACATTAATGCATAAGGAAATCATTGCCTTGTCTTGTAAGGGGAGTTACCTTGGTATTGCACCCGAATGACAGGACCAGTACGCTCCACTTTCACTAAGGTACTGCAGTATGGCATGCAGCTTCAAAAACGTGGAGAGATTTCTCCCATAATTGCTAACTGCACTAGATGTTTTCAGAAAATAAGCAGATTAGGAGAGATGAGCGCATGAGATGATGGGAGCAGCCTTTATGCCAGATAGTGCTATCAGTCCAGATGAGATGGTCTCACATGATTCTTCCAGTTCCATAGAAGCCTTGAAAAACTGGGGAAAAAAATGCTACTTAACACTCCAGGAAGCTTTGACACTGTACAGCTATTAAAAAAAAAAAAAAGAAATCTCTGGATTTGTAAAATAGCCTTTTTTCGACATGTATTTATTGGTAGGCATGGAGTTTTTAACGCTGTCATGCTTTACACACCCTTTAAGCTGTGGAAGAAGATAATTCATGTCTCGGCACACTACACTGATAATGATCTTAGTTTCTGGGTCTGAACCTTTTGTTGGGACTGCAGTTGGAATGCTGCTACTAATGCTGCCTCCAAATAAAAAGCGGGGAAACCTTTGCACGGTTGCTGCAGAAGGACCAGAGCCGAGAGCCTGTGGAAGGTCTAGCTATGAGGAAGGAGAGAAAGGCCTTTTTGGTTCCCCCTTCCCTGGGTCAGTTTTAGATGATGCTGACTGTGCTTCTGTACGCGTTGTTCTCGTTTCCTTTTTGTTTACGTTTTCCTGTAAGTTGCTTGAAATTAAGATTTAGTTCAGGTGGCTGCCATTTTTCTTCTTTTGTCCTGTTAGGCCCTCTTTAATGTCAATGTTTATGTAGACACTTTATCATGCCGATAGCTTATTTTAAGTTTCTGTAGTCAATGAGGAGAGATTAGGGGTGTAGACTATGTTCTTTTTTTTTTTTTTTTTTTTCTTCGATAACACTAAATAATGGGCAAGATTTAACTATAACAGTTACAGATTTTTTTTTTTGTGTGTCGTACTTGTCTTTAATAGGAAAGAGGGGATTGTGAAGGAATCGAGTTTGACCCAGAAGTGTCTGTGAGCATATAGACATGCTCTAAAAGACCACATTTGATCAAGAAACGCAGCAACTCTAATCAGAATACTTTAACAACATTGCAACACTATGAGCTACCCTATGAAATATTTAAAAAATGAAGAACATTTATGATAAAAGGCAAAGCACAACTGCTGTCTGTTGACTTAATGATATGGGATCATATTAAAACACGTTTTGTACCAGCTTTTGGAACCATAGACAAAATAAATGTGCGCTAACTGATCTTCCACTTGTATGACTGATGGAGAAGGGCACATCTTGGTGTATTTGTACCACGTATAGGTTCATCATCATGGTACTAACAAGACAATTGTATGACACCGCTGATTCCTGTGCTCTTTGCATCACGATTGGGTGATTTCGTTTTGTTTTTGTTTGTTTGTTTTTTAAATATACCTCTGAGCTGGCTTGAACTGTCTGAATGTGTCAGCACAGGTAATACATCTTTTCCAGTAACTCTAATCTCAGTTCAACTAACATTTCCACGTCTCCACTAAGCACTGGATGTAGTTAAATATATCGTATTTGGTGAGATAAAGGTAGGATACGAGTGGTTCTATATTTAAGCAACTTTAATGGGACGGTTCTCTCACTAAGCCAGATGTTTTATACTGTATTCAACCTTACTGCTGTCCAGCCCAGTGCTCTTGTATTTAATTTGCTTATAGATCTACGTTTGTTAGTCTCATGGTTTCAGTGATTTCTGTAATGATGGATTTTTCTTTTGTACTATCTTTGTAAGATCTGTATAAACTTAATGCAAATAATGGGGTTGTAATTTTTTTTTAAACAGCAGATCTCTAACGGAGGTTGTGGGCTTGTTTGTCTCTGCATCTCAAAAAGTGCACAGTCACAATGTTTTGTTTGTTCTGTTTGTGCTTTGCCTTTTTTAGGTTTAGATCATTCTAGATATTGAGAGTAACAATGACATATCTCAACATTCGACTTACTCGTTTATCATTCTTTCCATTGGTCTGTCTGTACAGACATATTCTGTACTTCCCCTGAGTTCATTCAACAATAAATGTGTTTAATCAGCTTAGTTGATGATAAGAGTTTCTGTTCAATCGTCCAGTGGTAGAGGAATTTAAAGTAATATCTTTCTGATATTATAATTTTATTTTATTCAGTTGCACATGAAAGCTGAATTTGTGTTCAGTTCTATACAATCGGGGTTTTGCTGTTGCAGGTTTATTTGGTCAATTAGCAGCAGCTTCATTAGTTATACCTCACTGGTACTGGGTTGGACCCCCTTTTGCCTTCAGAATTGCTTTAAACCTTCGTAGCACAGATTCGGCAAGGTGCTGGAAACATTACTCAAAGGTTTTGGTCCGTGTTGACGTGATAGTGCTGTTTAAATGGATTAGTTGGTACCAGAGTGTGCTCAAAAAAATACACCTCCACCACCTCTGAGCCTTTGATATGAGACGGGATGGGTCCATGCATTCACGTTGTTTATGCCAAATTCTAACTCTACCATCCAAATGTTTCAGCAGAAATCAAGACTCGCCAGCGGGCAACTTTTTTTTTTTTTTTTTCCTTCTTTTATTGTCCAATTTTGGTGAGCCTGTGCAAACTGTAGCCTCAGTTTCCTGTTCTTAGCCGACAGAAGTGACGCCCACTTTGGTCTTGTGCTTGCTGTAACGTGTGGTTATTTTAGCTGCTACTGCTTTCCTGTCAGCTCGAAGCAGCCTGGTCATTCTCCTTTTGACCTCAGACATCAACAAAACATTTTCATTTAGAGAACTGCTGCTCACTTCTCGTTTTCTGACCATTTTCTGTAAACCCCAGAGATGGTTATTCAGCCATTTCTCAAACACTCAAACTAAAGCACCTTTCTGTCTCAATCTGTTTCTCACTTTTGAACTGTATGGCAGGCCAATACAGAAAATAACATATTAATTAAATGTGTAGTGAATTAATTTAAATTGAAAATGAATAAATATTTAAATAATTAAACATCTGTTCATTTCATTTATAAGAATTATTTCCAATTTCAATGAATAAATGAAATTTAATTCTTTAATTTGTATGTAATTTAATTTATTTTGGCACTTGTGGCCCTCTATACGTTTTCTCTTTTGTTTTACTCTCTTTTGATAGCTTGTTTTAATTGTTGCACAGTGTTTTGTAACTTTTATGTCAATTGCTATTAAAATAAACTTTACTTACGTACTAAACTATATTAGTGGTATGCAAAAAGGAGCGTATCGACTTCTTATGTAACCTGTCCTGCCAGTGACCTACACTCCCTCTTCTTCCATCATGAGCCTCGCGTTGTGAAGGAATTCGTCTTTAACACACTCACTGTGCTCTTTATAGTGTCCACTTAGTGTGGTCTGGGAGTACTTTGTTGAGATTGAGATTTTACTCCAAACTGAAAACAGGTGGTGAACAATTACGCAATCGAAGCCCTAAAAGATGCAATTAACGCCTTTGTTGTCCTACAGTGTAGGATGGGCGCGTAAAACCTCTCCAGAAAATACCTTTTAACCCACCCTGTCAAAACCGGCCTGGGTTATGTTTAACTGGGGCACAGAGGAATGGAGTTTTGCTTCCACTCAGGTTGCAGTTCTCGCTGTCGGACACTTGGTGCTGCTGCTTGGGAAGCAGCTGTGTAGCAAACGAGGGGGCGGCCACGGCGGTGCGACGTGGAAAGGCAGAACAGCATTCTGGTGTTGTCTGATGGTAGAGATTAAACTCCAGCGACCCAATGAGAACGCACACCGTCCCGGATCTCAGTAGGAGCTAACGCTGAAATGAAAGCAAAGGGGCGAACCGGGTAAATACTTGTGTTAGGAAGAAGTCGTCGCCATGGACGGAGGGCTGATTATTACATTTATATCTGTGGCGATGTTTGTAGGCTCTTTTCTCCTCGGGTTCATCCCACTGTTGTTCAGACTGTCTGAGGTAAGTGATTTCCCACAGTCTTTGTTTATAGTGGACTGTCTGGATCTACTTCATCTTGTCTTATTTGTCGTGCCCTCATAATGTGCAAGGCTGTTGTTTTGGAAACTTGCTGAACAACTAGAACTTGTGAGGGGAATCTCAGTCATCTGCTGAAATCACGTGTCTTAACCCTAGAAAAGCCTGCAGTTCGTTTCCATCCTGGGGGCAGGTCTGCTGTGTGGGACAGCGCTGGCCATCACCATCCCAGAGGGAGTGGGTTTGCTGGAAGACTCGTGGAAAGGTGAGCAGGAAAGCTCAAACATGCACATGACAACGAAGCAGAATGGTTGCTGTGCAAGCTTTGTGTTTATGTGGGTGTGCTAACCCACCAAATTTGCATGTGTTGTGATTGTAGCCTCCAGATGATTGATGAGGCAGGTGGGAGATGAAAAAGCTGCTCTCTGTAAAAACAACAAAAACAAGCTCATCAAAAGCTCTTTCTGTTCTTCATCTTCCGTCTCCAGCGTCATCCTCTGATGTGTCATCCGGTCTAAATTCCAGTAAAGAAAATGGGACCGTGGCAGAGAGAGGCCCACCTCGGTTCCTCATTGGGGTGGCTTTGACGCTCGGGTTCACCTTCATGTTTGTCGTCGATCAGATAGGAAGCTACCTTTCCACACGCGGCAAGTTATCAGAACTCTCACGCCAGCTTTACATTGCAGAGTGTTGCCTCCACAGATTTGTTAACCACCTCAGCGTGTGCGATGTCTAATTTCAGACCAGACGACTTGTTTGTCCAACAGCGTCCACTTCACAGCCACGTTGGGTCTGGTTATTCACGCTGCAGGTACGTGACACAGCCAAACCTCTCCTCTGCATATTTATTCTCTTGCTTTTGCTTGAGACGCACTGTTTCACTGGCTTCGAGGTCACAGGGGTGGAAAGTTTATAAGGAAACGTTCCTTATGCCCCCCGTGTGACTCAGCATGTGATTCTGCAGCACAGCCTGCAGGATCTAACTTTACAGTTATTTAAACGGGGACAACCAAGCTTGACAGCAGTCACAAATCAAACAACAATCATCCATGATGCAGATCTTAAAGACCGGAGACCTATACAAATCCACATAAAAGAAGTAGCTGTACCATCACAGTAATAATCTCTTTGTTTGCTTTTAGCTGATGGATTTGCTCTGGGTGCTGCTGTGGCTACAGGTCAAGTGACAGTACAAGTTGTAGTGTTTTTTGCTGTGATTCTGCACAAGGTGAGAGAACGTCTCATTGAAATGAACAGATGTCTGGGTGACGAGCACGATGCCATTGACCGTCTTTCCCGTCTCCTGTTTAGGCGCCCGCCGCTTTTGGCTTGGTCTCCTTTCTGATGCATGGAGGCCTCGAGAAGAAGTTCATTCAGGGACACTTACTGGCCTTTTCAGCTGCAGCGCCTATAGTTGCTATTGCCACTTACTTCATATTATATGCAGTAAGAAAGCACAATCTGACTGTCGTGTCTGCTTGAAAGGAGATGCATTAAATCCCAGTGACTAGACGGTTGCTGGGTCTGAGTTATTTAACTTGATGTGTGCTGTGTCTGCAGTCTGGAAGCTCATCTGAGAATCAGCTCAGTGCAACAGGAGTGGGAATGCTCTTCTCAGCGGGGACGTTTCTCTATGTGGCCACGGTGCATGTTCTCCCTGAGATCAGGAGCAGCAGGACTGATGAGCTGCCCTTGGACTCAGAGCAGCAGTCTGGAGCCGAAGCCCACCAGCAGAGACACTTGGGGCTCCTGGAGAGCCTCACCCTCATCATCGGTGTGGGGCTTCCGATGTTGCTGGCCCTCGGACTGCACGATGACTAAAAGAAAACATGAGGGCAATTTATTTTAAAAGGGGGTGAAAGGAAAACTCTGAGCACCTGTACTGTATGCCACAATGATCGGAGGACAAAATAGGCTTTGACAGAGTCTACCTTGGTCGTCTTATTTGAGTGTAACTTTGTGCCAGGCTATTGTTTGGGTGTCAAAAAGCTTTCCGGGAGGTGATAAAGAATCAGGTAACTAATATAGTTTCATAGCTGAATTGAGTTTCCATTCAGAGGAAGCAGAAACAGTTCTCATTTGTTGCCACGGTCCGCTGAAGGCATGTTGAGGTATTAAATATCCTGAAAGGTGAATAGATTTACAGGAACGACCAAATAATTCGATACTCTCTCACCTAGAAAATGTCTCTAGGGCGTACACTTTATATTATTATATTTTACGGCTAAGAGTTTGAAAATATGGCCGGATTTTCAGATTATAAATGTGCAATAATACAAACTACAAAGTTTTTTTTTTTTATAATGTTGTTTGTCTGAGTTGGTTTATGGTGGGGATCGTGTCGAGTGAGAGGCAGCCTGGACAGGTTACCGTCTGTCTGCTATCACAGAGGCGCGGGCCAACTGTTCGCACTCACAGCTGCAGCTAACGCTAATTTAGAATCGTCTCTCTGACTCAGCATTCATGCTTGTGCAGTGTGGAATAAGGCTGGGACAAAACCAGGGACACGCGGAGAACATCCAAACACAGAAAAGGGGCAAAGGTTTGAACCTCTTAATGTGAAGTGATAATAACTGCAGCCAAATGAGAAGACCAACCGGTAAGCTGGTCCAGCAACTCTCATGTTAGGTGATACGTTAGACCGAGACGGGTTCCTGGCAGCAGGTGGGGTACGTATCAAGAACTATCGAGCAGATTCTGGAGGTTACAGATGTTTTACTGACTCACTGCCACTTAGAGCAATTTTTACCTTTACTTTCTTTCTTTCAGCTCCTTTAGTGTGTGCAACATGTGAAATATTGAAACACGTGAAATGTCTTCTGGTTTTATAATGGCTTATTTATTTACTTTATACTTGATTTTTTTTTTTTGTTTTCGTCACACAACGCTGTACATTGCTGCATCGACTGACCTAAAGCTTGTTTACTTATGTTTAACGTGTGGAGCAGAATTCCCCTTTTAACAGCTACACTAAATATCTTGAGATTGAATTTTAATTTCATAGTTTTTGTATTGTAAACCGAAGTTAAGATATTTTACACTTAAATTTGTCCTTTATTCATTAAGCTCTAAACACAGTTCATGTATGAACACATGCACAGGTTAGAGACCAATTAGGTTTGCATAAATGTAACCGATCTGCTCTACAAACCTTTGGAAGTGACCACAGAAGACATGACAAAGGAGTATTAGCCAAAAGGAAGGTTTTTGGGTTTATAAATGACAGGCTACCAAATACCCTGATTCAACCGAGGACTTGGATTTTAACTACTTTTAAAAAAAAACTTTGTCTTCAAGAATGCCTTAAATCACTGTCTGTGGTTGATGCTGTCTAGTGTTGCTTATTTAATTTTTGTTTCAGTCTGATAAATATTGATGACTCCTGTTTCCTCCTACTGGTGGAAAATTCCACTCTGACCCTCGGTGGAAGCTTGCCATTGGTGGAACACCACTAGAATAAAATCCAGTGTTTTTATGAACTCCCTGATCAGGGCTCATTTGCTGGAGTTTAGTTTTTTGTTTGTTTTTAAGTTGAACACCATGCCATGAGAATAAAGATTTCTTTACTATTGTCTGAAAAGAGAGTTCCTTGGAGTTCTTTGATGATTTGTCCTACATGTGACCCCAGTTTGAATACAGGAAGTGCTCCCGTTTACAGTTCATGTAATTATTAAAAATGTGGCACACATGATCACGCTGCTAATGGTGAAATCAAACATCTGTTATGGCCTAGCATTAAAGTGATACAGCGTTGTTCTGTTTGAATCTTGCACGTAATAAAAATCTTCAAGTGGTATAAAGATTTTATAACACACGGTAGTCAGACTAACAGGAAAACAGGCAACCCCGTGGTCTAGCAAACATTAACTCTTGCCTCGTGTCCTCATAGCTCATTCAGAGCATTGCAGTAGGACTGCACTTTGATTCCTTTCCAACCTCTGCAGACTATCCCCTCCCCTCTTATTTGCAGTCTACTAACAGCTAAACGCTCTAGCCATCAATCTTTAAGTGCCGGATGGTTATATTTGTTGTCACTAGTTGAATGTGGGTTGCATATAATGTGTTGCTACACAATCAATCTCATCTCAGGCTTAAGAACTAGCCAGGGGTCAAATATAAATGAATACACTGCTGTGAAGTACTGAACACAAATGGTTGAGGAAATAATGGTGCCTGTAAAGTTTACCCTGACAGGAGGTCACTCAGAGGTCTTGCTGATCTAAGCAGTTAACCTCAACTAAATAAAATGAAATGAAACCGTTTGGAAGTCTTTGAAACTGTATCCCAGCTACTGCACTCTATCAAATAAAAAGTTGACTTTTTGGATTATTAAAATCACCAAATGTTCATGTGTCTGTCATTACAATGGCCAAAAATGATTTTTAAGAACAGCTCTGATATGATGTTCAAGGGCCCTTGCATCTCGGGGACCATTTATAATGAATTTAAATTCATTTACATTCAAAGTGCAGAGAACAGTGATGTGTCTCAGTATTTCTGCAAGTCTCTGGAGCTATTATTTGACTGCAGATCCTTTTCTAAGCAGCTCTGGGTGAGTGTACAGGTGCAAAACAGAGTCTGAATAGAGTTCACAGATTCATGCGGTTTAAAGACGCAGTCAGCTGAGCCTCAAGCGCCATCTGATCAAAGGTCCGGCTGTGCGTCTGCTGCCTCACTCTCTCCCTCATGTGAAAGGAGGCCTGAGCCAGCCTCTGTGCCTCCTCCTGTATCTGCTCTCGCTGCCTTCTCAGCCGCTCCCTCTTCTGCTCCTTTGTGGAAATGCGGCTCTCTCTGACTCTCCTCGCCGCCTCCTCCTCTCTCTGTAGTTCCTCTCTGAGCCTCTGGTGGCAGAGCTGCCTGTGTTTGTTGTTCTGCCGGGTTTTCTGAGCTCTGCGCCTGTGCTGCGCTGAGGCGTGCAGGGCGGCTCTCTCCATGCGTCTCTGGCTCAGCTGGACCAGGATCTGCTTGTGTGTGAGCTGCTGGACGCTCTGCAGCTCGGCCCTCAGCTGCACTCTTTGACTCATCTCCTCCTCCCGGGCAGCCCGCTCCCGAAGCTCTTCGAGTCGTGCCTCTACAGACTTGGCACGCCTTTGGCAGGAGTGCTGCAACTTCTTCTCCAGTGTGCTCCTCCTCTGCGCCTCCTCTTCCTCCCCCTGCAGCTCAACTTGGTGTTTCAGCAAGATGTGTCTCAGCAGCTCTTTATGGTTTTCCTCCTGCAGCCTCTTCCGCTCCCCCTTCTCCTTCAGCATCTTGCTCCTCAGGACCTTCTCCTCCTTCTCCGCTGCCACCTGTCTCTCCCTCTCTCGCTCCCTCTTCCCCGCCTCCTCCTTCTCGGTCAGCAGCTTCTCCTGGTAGCGTTTGCGCTCTTCCGCCTCCTTCTGTGTACCCTCCATCTTTGCCCTGCGGTACACTTCCACCTCCTCTTTTAGCCTTCTCCATCGGTCTTCTTGCAGCAGCACCTCCTGCTTAAGCTGTTCTGCTTTCTCTTTTTCTCGATGCTCCCTCAGCCTCCTGCGGGCCTCCAGCTCCTCGTTCCAGCGTTTCATACTCCGCTTCAGCTTCTTCCTCCTCTTTTTTTCTGCCTGAACTTGCTGGGCCTCCTCCTGCCTGCGGGCCTCCTGTCGCTCCCATTCCTCCTGCTGGCTGAGCTTCAAACGAGCCTGTTCCTCCTCATGCTTCACCAGCATCAGAGCAGCTATCTTCTGGTCTCTCTCCGATACTGTGACACACATCTGCTTTTGGATGCTCTTGGTGAGCCTCTTCAGCTTCTTCTCGGTAGCTGGGGAGTGTATGAGGTCTCCCAGGTTGAAGCTGCACAATGTGCTCCTCTCTGGATCTTTTTTACTAGGAGCAGAGCAGGAGGACCTGCTAACAGCCTTCTCTTCAGAGCAGAGATCTGCATAGGGCATTTCTGTTGAGCGCTCTTCCAGTCTGGTGTCAGGCAACACCTCCAAGCCTGAGGCTTTACTGCTGCATGGCCGCCTGTCCCCGGCCGCCTGGATAATCCTCCGCCGTTCCTGGCCGCACTTTTGTAAAGTCTTCAGCCTCTCCTTTTCATAAGATTCATGCACGACTCTCATTGTCTCAAACGGCGTGTCCTGTCGCTCAGCAATGAAGTCGTTTAGAGATTTAATTAAAAGCTGAACCGGTTTTACACCCAGCCGAGCGCAAGACTCAAGCGATCGAGGGTTCGTTAAGGCATGTCGGTTGCTCTCTGCTCCGGGAGAGTCGAAGTTGTTCAGGTCCAACTTAAGCACAGGGGAGCTGCACCTCAGCTCCTCCATCCTAAAACTAAAAAGCTAAATTAATGGATGCCAGATACGGAGGTCCTGCGGCTCACAGGTGCTACACCGAGCAGCGCTTCCGCACGGTCTGCAGCACAGAGAGGTCAGCAGGGGATTAGCTACTTCCTCGCGGACAAATAACAGTCGGTATCTCATTAACCGTCTTTACCTCAACTGTGAGCAATGACAGGCCGAATAATAAACAAAAAAACCCAACTTTATTTAAGCAGACGGGAACGTGTTAAATAAACGCTTGCAGTCAAGCATGGATTTAAAAAAGGGCCAGTCTGTTGAGGTTTACAGGGATTTATTTATGCACAGCTCACTTAGGATCCCACCAGAGCGTTTCATTCAGGTTTACTTTCCCTGGATCACTGCAACGTCTTGATTTTTTTTTTCTTTTCCAGTCTCACTGTCTGCTTCAGCCAAGCTTTAGCTCCTGCTACAAACTAAAATCACCACCATGTTTATCAAAAGAGAAAGGTTTTAAAATGCTAAACTATATATAACTGGGACTCGGATGCGTGGCTCATGTGCTTTTGAATTTGCTGTTGCTGTTTGCTTTTGATGAGTTTAAATGATTATATATCCCTGCGTCGCTGTATGTATGACAATGCAGTTTATCTGCAAAATAACAAGTAAGGAAAGCTCAAATAATTAGTATGAAGTGAAAAGAACAATGTTTTCCAACAAAATACAGCCAAAACTGAAAATAGCATGACCTAGACCTACTTAGATCAAGTAGAAATACATTAGAGCTATTCAAGTTGCATGCCTGCTGTTCATGCGCTCATCCAGCAGTGCTGGGTTGGGTAAGATTCGATTTTGAACTTTTTATTGTCTTTATACATGTTGACTTATTTAGTTTTTAATTTTTTATTTGTGAGTTGTAACCTGGACTTTTTGATTTCGAAGAATATAGGAGATTTTTATATTCTGTGGTAAATACACCACAGTTTGAATAAACATCCCAGAAGGCATTTTGGATTGGGTGCTGTCATAAAATACTAATTTCCCCCTGAGCAAAAGGTTATCCTTAACAAGACTCATTCTTTCTAGTTTGCCAGGTAGGTGCCACTTCCTCTTTGTTCTGCGTTCACATACCAAGCTATAAATGTGTGCGCCTGTCTTATTTTATTGAATCTCTAGCAGACTACCCATTGTTATATTATTCACCTGCATTTTGGTTCTTAATAATGACATGTAATGCTGCATTAGCTAAAAGCATTTCATGGACTCTTGTGCATTAAAAAAATAAAGTAAAAACATCCCAATAATTAATTAATTACATATCTTTAAAAAAAACACATTTGTATGGAGTAGACTGGGGTTGGTTGTCACACTTTTTACCGTTACATGAAGTTGCAGAAGTTCCCAGGATCTTTTAAAAGACAACCAGTCTATTAGCAGATTTTTCCAACAGATAACCTGAGCAATAGTAAGCAGGTCAGTGTAAATATGTAAGAGAAAACCAAATGATGAACTCCATTTTTAAAACATAAAAAGTCCACTTAAAAACCAGAGAATCTGCAAGGACCTACCCAATCTGCAATCAATACAAGAGAGACTGATGCTTTTCCTTGAAAATTTTATTCAAAAAGCAAACAACACAGGCTGGTCGGTATAAAGCGCTAATGCTACCGAGTCATGTGCAAAGTGTTAAGTCTAATCATTGAGACACATATTTTACTACAAGAGCAGTAAATGTAGGTCAGAGTAAAGAGAAACATCACAATCTTAACCATCTCCATTTTTTTAATTTTTAACTCACTTTTTATATAAATAAAATACATTTATTTAAACAT